CCCACCCTTCCCAGTTCCCCTCAGTTCCCCCCAGTTTCCACCATCACCCCCTCACCCCTTTCCCTCCCCCCACAGGGAAGATGCCCATCCCCTGCGTCACCTCGGGGCTGGCTCCCAGCCCCCCCTCGCCCCCCGCCAGCCCCAAAAAGGGCCGTTCCCTCAGCAAAGTCAAGTCCCCGGGGACCGTCCGCCGCCTCTCCATGAAGATGAAGAAGCTGCCGGAGCTGCGGAGGAAGCTGAGCCTTCGCTCTCCTCGCCCTCGGGGGCAGGAGGGGGGCACCTCATCCTCCGAGACCCCCCAGGAATCCAGCAACGTCATCAGCCGCTACCACCTGGACACCAGCGTGGCTTCTGGCCCGGGGCTACCACGAGCCAAAGGGGCTTCTAAAGGGGGCTACTTGAGCGACGGCGACTCCCCGGAGCTTCTGGCTAAAAACGGGGCTCGTGACCGAGGGGAGGAAGAGGAGGAAAACGGGTTGGACGTGGAGCTTTTTCGGCCCTATAACTACGAGGAGGCGCCGACGCCGTCGGCCCCGGGGGGAGGGCAACACATTTCGGGTTTGGTCACCGTCCACCTTCACGGCCTGGGGGACCTGAAGCCCCCCCGGGCTGAAAACCGGGAGGTTTTTTGCCTTTTACAGGTGGACGCGGCCAACCGGGCCCGGACGGCTTTATTGCCCTTAAAAAAGACTTTTTTGGGTTTAAATCACACCTTTAACCTGGAGCTGGAAAGCGCCCGGCACCTCAAGGTGCTGGTTTTCTCCTGGGATCCCACCTCTTGCCGTAACCGTCTCTGCTGCCACGGCACCGTGGTTCTGCCCCATATTTTCCGAGGTACCGAAAAAGGGGTCTGGGGGGATTGTGTTGTGGGTTTTTTTGGGGGAGGGTTGACCCAATTTGGTGATTTTCTTGGCAGGTTGTCGGGCCCAGCGGCTGGCGGTGCGGTTGACGCCGCGCGGCGTCCTCTACTCCAAGCTGACGTTGGTGGAGCGTTGGGAGGACCCCAGTCAACGGGAACCCCGCGTTTTCGGGGTGGAACTGGGCAAACTGGTGGAGAGGGAGAAGGCGCCCACCAAGGTCCCCCTCATCATCCAGAAATGCCTGGCTGAGATCGAGAAACGAGGGCTGAAGGTGACACCGGGGTGGGGGGGACGGTTAAAGGGGTGACAGTGGGGACCTGACC